CCCCCCATATACCAGAGACATACTAAAAATCTAGTTTTTATGTAGAGCAGAAATATATAGGTAAAAGAATTTTATTCCTGACAAATCTGAAAATGGAGAAACAAGACCAGAATTAGGGAGGGCGGCGGCTAAATCGGGAAACCCAGCGGCAACATCGGAGGGATCTAAAACAAAAATATATTTTTAAACAAATATAACACTAAATATAAATTATTGTAAAACGCCTAAAACTTAGGGATTTCATCTCTGAATTGGTTAAATAAAAAATACAAGGGGAAAACCATTCCCAAATCTTCCAAAAGGGATAAGGCTTTCCCCATTTGAAAACTTGCATGTACATCTCTTCCCACCATTGTAAATACATGTTGTTTGAAAGAGTGAATGAAATACAATACCTGTATCTATAGAGTGAATGGGTTGACCGGTTATTTTTGCCAATCTCTCCTCCGCATTCTCCAGCTTCCGTCGCCGTCTCTCCATCCGCCTTTAAAGGGACTGTTCAAGAAACATCAAGTAAAAAAGTTCGGGGGCGGGGGGTCCAAATAGGGTGGATTACAAACTAATATTTCTTAAGTACGTCCTAGTATACGATTTTTGGATTCCCCCCGCCCCCTTCCTATCAATTTTGTACATTACCATTCCGTTTAGGTTATTTTATATTATTTTAGGGTTAGGTTAGGTTCTGAACCGAGCGCTGAGGCCAGAACCGGCTAGTGGCCGAGCGCAGCGGCTAGGGGGCAGAGCGCCGCGGCTATTACAGGCCAGGGGGCCGGGCGCTGCGGCCACACGGTCAATTATATCCATGTCTTCCATGTACAAAACTGCTAGGAGGGGGGGGGGGGGTCCAAAAATTGTATGCTAAGAAATTACCTATTTCTTTGAGGCGGAATTTTTACTTTTCACAAATTCAGAAACGTACGATTTGACTTTGAGGTAAAAATTCACTGAAGAAGAAATAAGCAACAAACAATACAATCGAATTGATTGATTGATCAACGTATATGCTCTTTAAACTTGTGATAAGACAGTTTCTTAGCTATATAAGGGAGGACCGGATGGGACTAATGCCCTTTTACTTGTACTCAGCTCTATGGAGCTTTCAATGAGTACTAATTTTTTCCAATTTTCGGCAAGGTAAGGACAAGTAAAGGAGCATATACTGCTAACTATTGGGTAATTTCCTAGTATACGATTTTTGGACCCCCCCCCCCACAAGTAGCGCTCCGTAACGAAATCTTGTGGCAGCCGGATCGGGGACCCGACCCAACCACCTCAAGATTTGAAACCGAGAGCACTACCACTGAGCCACAGAAGCTAGCTTACAATCGAATTAAGTCGAGTGTAGGTTGCTTGCATTGTAACGGATTGAAACAGATTGAAACAGACTCAACGGATTAAAAATGGTATAAACTTAACCTGGCAGCCTCTGCTCTTAGTTTTTCTTCTTCTGTCATTATGTATAAACTAATCTGAAAAAATAATAATTTAGACAAAAATGAACAGATTTTGTTCAGAACATTTCATTTATTTAAATGCTGGAAAATATCACAATGAACACATTGAAACTGTAAGAATATTCAGATTACAAAATATTAACAAGCTCCAGACTGATCTTGCCTCGCTCTGCGTCCTTGCTCAGCAAGCGGACCTCCACCCTAACACATTTAAAAACTGTAAACTTGAAAATATACGAAAATTATTTCAACCAATCCACGAAACCTACGAGTACGAAGCATAATCTGCGCAAGTGCCGCACATTTTCATAATTCTTGATTGATTGATTGACTATTATAATAAAAGATGCTATATCGATTGCTCTATTGTCCAATTGGACGGCGTGCAACCTACGTAACTTAATTAACTAAAAACCTGGATTGTTATCGAAATTTAGTGCAACTGAACGCAATTAAAAGTTTCCAAATATTCAATTAAACTACAAAAGTATATCACTATACAGAGAATGTTGTTATCCATTAAAAAATATTTTTGTTGATTATCATATTTCAAATAGTACCTGTTCCCCAACTCCACTTTTCTTCCTCTCATCTTGCTAATATGAATAAGGCCGTCTTTGCCAATACCTAATTACATATAACGTATTCAGAGTGTCCTAAAAACCATGGAACTGAAAGGACAACTTGAAAAAAACATTCTTTAGCTCACCAATATCCACAAAGGCCCCGAATGCGGTGACATTAGATACACGTCCTGTTAGAAGGTTGCCAGGATGAATATCCTCTAAGCGGGTCATACCATTCCTGGAAACAATAATCAATCAATCAGAATTTCAGGGATGCCCTACTTCCATAGATAAAGATAGATTGCGCATAAGACGACATTTTTCATCTTGAAAGATAAAAATGTAAAGATATTCCTATTATATGGATTAACTAGGTCGGTTGTGAACATTAGCTGTTCTTATGTCATTGAGTACTTTTGGTGTACATGAGTTCTGTAGAGAGAAATTTAAGTTAGTTTAGTCCTTCTCATTCCCTTCTTCAGTTCTCGTCAATATGATAATTTGATAATTTGATATTCTCAAAATAAAATTCGATCTTGAGTGGTTTAATAATCATGAAATCCATTAAAACACCAAACCACCCCCGCTTATCATTTAAGTACACTTTGACCCCTAGAAGTATGAGTTCGCGGACTGTACAATTCTTGGTGGTAAGCTATACTATGTTTATTTATTTATCTATGCTTACTTCTCACAACTCAAACCCAAACTAAACTTAATAAATCGAGAATGAGATTATTGTTAAAAATATTTTAGAATACCACGGATGAACCCAGAACCTGAATGGTGTTTCTTTTTCAGCTACTTTTCGATAAATGAATTAATTACTTGCCCAATTGCAGTAAAGTTCTTAGTCCTTATATCTTTGCATTCTGAAGTTTTTTACCTTCAATTTTTAAACTATGATTTCTGCTGGTATATGTAATAGTCAAAGTTTTACGCCATCAGGTTGCAAAAATGTAAAGATTAGAAGATTTTAAAATTTTCATTTCCACTAACAAATTTGTACTTGATTGCAAATAACAGCTATACACCTGAAAATAGGTGCCCCAAACTCTTGTCTATAGTCGTATTCCAAATCCTGCTTCAAACTCCCTGATTTCATTGCATAACAATTATATCTAGATCACACAACTTATCCAGAGTTGGTAACTTTTGAATGGGCAGAACTATAATTTAAATCAGTTCTTCATTTCAAAAGTTGCCAACTCTGTTCAAACTTTTTGGATGTTCCAAAGCAAATGGTTTTACTAGACACTTATTACATCACAAATTTAGTAAATGGGTCTGTTCACACTGTACAATCGCGGTGTCTCATGCTCATTGGGCTTTTTAAAGATTATAACTTGATTCTAAAAGTCGTCTTTCTATTCCAGAGTTTTCTGGATATCACTGTAAAATGTACAGTGAGAACCAGAAAACTATGGAATTCTCGACGTCTTTTTATTTCTTCCTTAAGTTTTATAAAAAAAATTGTCTGAATTTTATAGTTGAAATAAACAATAAAAACCATAAAACTGTGGAAAAGGAAGACGACATTTCAGCAATATCATGGCCGGGCATTCGATGTTATTTCCAGTAATTTTACCAGTAGCTAGAAAGTAAATCATTAAATGAAATTGGTCCACGGACACTGCACAATTCATGTTCAATAGACTATTTAAAATCAAAATTTAAGTCTTTCAGTTGTCAGTCACCTTCCTATTCCTAAAGGTTATGGGTCCCGCTGTATAAATTGTAACAATTGTAAATTTAAAAAAACCATAGATTAAAAACCCCTTGTCAATTATTCTTAATCAAAAGGCAAAAATCATTTGGTTTTTACTGTACATGCAAAAAATGTTTGCATTTTATTTTTTTTATTTTAAATTGAATTATGAAATGCATTCCTATGATTAGATCCAGAGTAGGTAGACCGATCTTCAGCCTGCAACAAAAGATCACATTTTAAGAATTTTCTAAAACCTGTTTTTACTTTCTTATATTTAACTACATACCTAGTTGCCAGCTCCTCAGGGTTCTGTTTACAAACAAAACTAGTTATTGTGTTTACAAACTGGTTGGATCCAATCTCCTCTAACACAGCTCCAGTCAGCTTGACCAGCTCAGTAGCTGCTAGATAGGACTCTGGATGGATATTTGTAGCATCTAAAGGATTCCAATCAGCTGCTCCTGCCTGGGCGCTACTTTTCCCGGATTTCTTCACAGATTTGGCTGGTTTGGCGGGCTTTTCTGAACCGTCGCCATTTTCTTTGGTTGATTTTGAGATTCGTAGAAAACCAGAGCATTGCTCAAATACTTTCCCACCGATTCCTTTTACTAATTTCAGATCCTCTCTGGCCTTAAAATCTCCGTTCTTACGTCGAAACTCCACAATCGACTTTGCTCTGAAAAAAGTATCATCAGAATTTGTTTGTTTTTTTGTATTTACAATTTACATACCTAGCTGCAGTTAGTCCTGCTATTCTGCGCAGCAAATGTTCAGAACATGAATTTAAGTTTACTCCAACAAAACTGAAAATAGCATAACATATTATTATAAAGTCATTTGCCTTATTCTAAATTCAAAAGTTAGATTTAATCCTTTTTCATTTTTTGACACCTGACACACTCTACAACAATTTCGTCCAGAGCTGTGTTCAGTTTAGTCTGGGACACGTCGTGCTGGTACATACCACATCCTGTACATATGAAAATTACAATACAGTGTACAACACATAGTGCCGGTACATACCACATCCTGTACATATGAACAGTACAGTACCTGTATATACCACATCCTTTATAGATACAGTAGAGTAAGTGTGATTAACATATCGTGCTGGTACATACCACATCCTGTACAGATAAACAGCACAATACAGTAGTGTATATGTGCTGGTGCATACCACATCCTGTACAGTTGAACAGTACCTTGTACAGTTTGCAACACGTCGTGCTGGTACATACCACATATTGTACAGTACAGTACAGTACATAGTGTACATTTACATATCTTGCAAGTAAATGCCACATCCTCTACAGATAGACAGTACAGTAAATAGTGTACAGTTACACATCTTGAAAGTAAATGCCACATCCTGTACAGGTAAAACAGTACAGTACAGTGCGCATTAACACATCTTACTTTACAATATGTCTTAACACAGGGTGAGTTAACAAGGGGATATGCGTTGTTTTGCAGAAATATTTTAGCGGGGTTTATGTTTTAGATATAAAAATATTAAAATGAATTTTTTTAAAAATGGAATTTTTTTAAATTAACTATTTTTTAGAAAAATCACTAACCTAGGTGATGCGGTTCAATCTTTACATACTCTGACAGAGGATCTTGAAGTCGTCTTCCTGACATTCAAATAACATAAAGAGAGTGTTCAGGGTACATGGGGGTTATAGGTTGATATCTTTAATTACATTATTAAATACTAGCTCAAGTGCCCGGCGCGGCCCAGGTTACTCATAGCTACTCTCGCCGTTAACCGTTTGGTCATAAATCATGAATTTAACTGAAGTGCCCGGCATTGCCCGTAAAATTTCAAAAGATACAAAAATAGCCTTTGTCCCCCCGGGGTATTAATCAATAGGTTCCCTCAGAAAATGCCAATTTGTTTCAGCTGTTAAGTGTTTGACCAGATGTAGCGAACATATAAATGAGCGAGGAGCTTTATTATACAGAAGATTTCTACTTTAAATTCTACCCGATGTTTTTGTTTAAAACCCATACGTCTTTAAATAAGATAAAACGTAGAATTAAAATTTGAAAATCAAACTTAAGAGATTAGTTATGAAGTTCAAAGAAACAATGAGCAAAAAAGTTTATAATTCTTTTTAAAAAAGGCTGTTTCAAATAAAATAAAATAAAATCACATTTTGCAGGGATGGCTTAAGGCACCTAACTGAAGGTATGAGAATTTCAAGTCTTACCCACAACCGGGTTTTTCAAATTATGTCTGGACTTTCATCAAATCACAATTTAGAAATCATTAATTTTATTACATTGAATCTAAAGCTGTACAGCAATTTTTTAAACCCCAAAGACGAAAATTTCGTGAAAAAAATATATACAATACCCTTCTGTGTGTAAAAAGTTATAAATACCGTGAGGCTCATAAGACTGTGAAATAGGAAGACGAGATTTGATCAATCTTATATAATGTCAATGTTGTTATAAAGCAAACAGTATTTACCAGAAGCTTGAAATTAAACTTTATAAATGATACGGTTCTGTGTCACGTGTGAACTGCACAGTTGGTGTTTTTCATGTTTATTGGCCTATTAAAAATCATTACTTGAGTCTAACAGTCGTCCCCCTATTCCACAATTTAATGGGTCTTACTGTATAACGATGAATATAAAAATTAATTAAGGGCATCGTTCTTATCTAAAACGGTAGGCGATTATATCAATTAAAATGAAGACGACTTTCGTTTTCAATTTTGATTGCAGAAAGGATGGATACGCATAAACATAGAATTTAAGAGAAGCTGCCAATTAAAAAAGCTTCTCTTTAATTACTTGTAAACTTAAATTCGAAAAAAGCGTGTTAACAACCAAAACTTAAATAAATACTTTATTGTATTGATATAATCTCCTACCACTGTAGTATATCCATTAAATCTAGAATATCCTGGAAATCGCTGTAATTACCTAGTGATACGGCAGATATGATATTTGTATCCATTTTAGGAAACTCCTGAACAATCCAGTTTTATTAAAAAAAATAATATCCATTTTTTTTACTTTTGGAGGCCTGAAAAATTAGACAGGAATTTTTTCTAAATTTGTGGACAAGTAGTAAGGAATAAAAGGGAGATATAACTGACGTGGTTCGCCCTACCATATGATTATACATGCATTGCAGGCGGGTACTCCATTTGCACAAGAAATATTCAGAATAGGTTATTGCATGCGCGGAAATTGTACATCAGACAAATATTTCTTATTCAAATAAAGTACCGTCTGCAAAGCATGCATTGTATAATCATATGGTAGGGCGAACCGCGTCAGTTATATCCTCCCGTCTATGCCATACTCCTTGGTCAAGGTTGATTAATATAATGAGGGAGAGAACCAGATTCTAAAGGGACTGTAGACTAAATTTCAAGTACCTCTCCAGTTAAAGAGTGGCATGCTCGGTCCTCAACTGAACTTATTAAATCTTTATTTGATTAATAATGTGGAAGAAATTGTCACTTTTACAGCTTGAAAAGTGTTCATTTCTGATAATTTCCAACATTGTTTCTGCAGAAAAAATGCGCAAGTCACTTTTGTACAGAGACAACACTGAAAATAATCATTTTTTAAAGAGAAAAGTATGGGTTTCTCATTTACTTCATTTACTCAGTTAATGGATCGAGCGTCACTGGAAATTAGGTCTTTAAGGGCCCTGTAAATAGTACTTTAAGGGCCCTGTAAATAGTACTTTAAGGGCCCTATAAATAGTACTTTAAGGGCCCTGTAAATAGTACTTTAAGGGCCCTGTAAATGGTACTTTAAGGGCACTGTAAATGGTACTTTAAGGGCACTGTAAATGGTACTTTAAAAGCCCTGTAAATGGTACTTTAAGGGCCCTGTAAATGGTACTTTAAGGGCCCTGTAAATGGTACTTTAAGGGCCCTGTAAATGGTACTTTAAGGGCCCTGTAAATGGTACTTTAAGGGCACTGTAAATGGTACTTTAAGGGCCCTGTAAATGGTACTTTAAGGGCCCTGTAAATGGTACTTTAAGAGTCCTGTAAATGGTACTTTAAGGGATCTGTAAATGGTACTTTAAGGGCCCTGTAAATGGTACTTTAAGGGCCCTGTAAATGGTACTTTAAGAGCCTTGTAAATGGTACTTTAAGGGCCCTGTAAATGGTACTTTAAGAGCCCTGTAAATGGCACTTTAAAAGTAAAAAAAGTCAATAAACTGTAAGTCCCTGAGATGCTAGAGGTGAACAGCTGTATATGCTAGCCCCTCTCTCCTCAACTATAGTATACCTAAAATAACCTTTTTTTAATGCTAGAAAATTCAAAAATGCGTATGTAGGAACTTCAGAAAATGCGAGCTTATTAAAATATTTAACCTCTACCTGAATGGCTAGTTCCTGGATAAAACTGCAATTCATAGTATAATCTTAATTTGACTTGGATCTGGTTTAAACTTCAAGCTTATTACAAAAAAGCTAACTTCACTTAGTGATCGTGACCTGACTTTGATCAGAGCATCCAGCATCCTGCTCTTTAATAAAGGCTGGACAACAAACATCATGCGGTTTTATTTACCTGACTTTTATCAGGTCAAAGCATCATACTTTTTCAGCAAAGCTAGATACAGGGTTACCCACAAAAGATGAGACTTCAGGAATTCATACCGTCTTTTTCCTTATATTTATAATTCCATTGGAAAATCAGTAAATAAGCCATTCAATGCAGAAGATTTTATTTAAAGGGAGTGTTCGCGAAAAATGAAAGTGGGTATAGGCTTACGGTGAAAAATAAGCACTTTAGATCGCTACTAATCTTAGTTCTATATGTTACGTCTATAAGGAGAAAATTGTTAATAACGACTAATGCTGAAGAACGTAGCGTCCATACAAATTCAGAAAAGTTGCAACATTTAACTCGGATCGTAAAATAATCAATTTAATTTCGAACAAAACATTCAGATATTACAAACAATAGTCATCGATTATTTTTCGACTTATTCGTATATACTATAAAGTTAATATTTCATAATATTTTTGATTTTGTTTTTTTAAATAATGTTTCAGATCATAACAAATTAAAAATATTATAAAATATCAACTATATACAAATGCGTCGAAAAATTATCGATGATTATTGGTTTTAATATTTGAATGATTTGTTTGGAATTAAATTGATTTTTTACGATCCGGGTTAAATGTCGCAATTTTCTGAATTTGTATGGATGTACAATTTTCGGTATGAGTCGTTTTTAACAATTTTCTCCTTATGGCACAACAGATAGAAGTAAGATTAGTAGCGATCAAAAGCACTTATTTTTCTCTGTAAGACTATAGGGAGTATAGTTTTACGGCGAAAATTTTTCGCGAACACTCTCTTTAAACTAGGGATCGTCATATTTGAAGAGTTTGTGGGTAACCCTGTAGTTCCTTGACAAAGGCTCTTTGTTACAGTATAATTTTTTCCTGACTTTAATCAAATGGCATCCAGTGTTTATTGCAAAGATGGCTAGCTCTTTGAATATGGTTGGACATCATACTCTTTACCTGACTTTGGTCCTGTGAAAGTATCCAGCACAGCTTACGAACACCTAGATAAACCTGCCAAATGTCAAATGGTGATCATTACCTGACTTTGACCGGGTTAAATCGTCCAGCTTCTATAGCGTAGCTGACCAGCTCCTGTGTCTCCCGACATCCAGTACCATTTCCAATGGCAATAGTTCCAACCCCATAGTTTTGAACCATATCACATAAAATCCTAGAATTAATATATCTTTTTCCCCAGAACTGAAACTTTGATTAAATCTTTGAAGTATGTACTGTTTTCTCCCTAGATTTTACCCTAATATCTGAACAATTCAATAAGGTCACCTGAGTGGTTGTTCATCCGCTCTAGGATCCTTGAATCTGGGATAAATCACCCCGGTATCTAGAGTATAAGTTCTTTTACATACAACATTTTTATAAATTCTGATTAATTACAAATTACTGAAACTTTTAACTCAAATGAAAGCAAAATATGAATCCATAGAAGGTACCTTTAAATAATACAATGAGTGATACTTCTTTCAACAGAATTTATTCGAACTTCATGGGACACCAAAAACTAAGCTTTTGGTGTGTACTGCACTGATCTACAGAACATTTAACCAGGAAAATTTGTGGTTTTCACTATTAAGAGCAGAGTGTTTGAAAGAAAGTAAAAAAATACCTATAACATCTCCACTTTCAGAAATAACAGCAAGTTTGCAGCCATGACTGAATCCTGGATCTATGCTAAGAATCTTGAACCCTCTGAATGGCGGGGTCAAAAGCAGTTTTCGTAAATTTTCTGCAAAATTCAAGATGGCGTCGTTTTCCGCCATCTTAGTCAGCTCAGACCGGCAAGTTCTTAAATCATATAAACAATGACTGTCAAGCCTAATAAAGGAACTGTTAAGCTAAAATAAAAGGGGGTATAGGCTGAAGCCTAAACAATTTAGGAGTCTATTGAGACCAATATAAGTTCTATCTGATGTCCCTGTCACGAGAATTTTATATAAGACTATGTAAAAGTTATACCAAAACTCACATATATATATATATAAGAATGGTTTTTGAATCAAAGTTTTAAACAGATCATATTAAGCAAAAACGCAACAAATCTGACAATTACGATAATCCAGAGGAGCATAAAAAGTTTAGGTACGCTCCTATTTTAATTTGAATATACTACTTATTCATTTTTAATAGATACAATTGATAAAATAATTGTTACGTGACAAGAATTTCCACCAATAACAGTGCAGTATCTGTTCATGTGGCTCTCTTTGTCTGTATCACATGACCACAATTTCCCCCAAAGGCCGTTTAGTACCTGGTCACAAGGCCCCGTCAACTAGATTAAGTATATATGAGTTTTTGAATAATATTAACACAGTTTTATATCAATTTCTTGAGACAGGGACATCAGCCAGAACTAATATTGGTCGCGATCAACTCCTAAAATGTTTAGGCTTCAGTCTATACCCCCTTTCAATTTACCTTAACAGTCCCTTTAAATAATAAAACTAATATAACAGCCATTATAAATTCCTAATCATCAATGGACTGATAAGACGCTTGTATGCATCCTTCAGGGCATTTTCAACCATACTTGTCCTGGAATAAAAATAAGGGTTGACAAAAATTCAATATTTGATTTTAGTATTGAATACCTGGTGGGATACTGCCTCCCTCGGTTTAACCATCTGAATTGAACCTATAAAAGTTTAGTTGGAAAATTCTGAATTCATCTAAACTTTTTGTACTTTTTAAGCTTAAGATTTTGGTATTAAAAAATGTATTCGGATACAGATTCAGCTCATTAATCATTTTTTAAGTTGACTTATTTTCTTTTTAAGAAGGAAAAATTACTAAATATAAGTGCGAGTGTGAAGGGCAAAACTGGTCACACTTTAGTACATATCAAAAGAATAAATGCAACTAGTATATCCCTCATCCTGTATATGCTCTTAATTCATAGCTTAGCACTGATTTTGCATTTGCTGTTTACCTGTCTTTTCAGCTGATTCATCAGCCAGTCCTCTGGCAGGTTAACCTAGTAAATAAAGTTTTTCACAAATTCTGTTTTAGGACCCTTTCTAATATTCATCTTGTAACATAATCAAAGCATTAACAAAGTATTATGCTAAAAAATGATATATAAATTATTAAAGAAAACTTGTTGTAAATCTTATATAATATATCCTACGTTTGAAAAGACAACTGAAACCCTAAAACCCAGCGTTTTTTATTATCAGTTAGAACCAGAAAACTCTGGAATAGGAAGTAGACTTTTCCTTTTAGACTCAAGTTTTGACTTTCAATCGCCTAATGAACATGAGACACAGCAATTGCACACTGTAAACAGACCCATTTCACTTAATAAGTGATTTAATAACTTACTGGTAATGCTATATTCTTTGCAACAACATCAAATGCACTTCAGTATTGCTTAAATGTCGTCTTCCTATTCTACAGTTTTCTGGTTATAACTATACCACTTCCTTCAACCTACACGTGAGTTATTTTGACCCTTTTATGATACTCTTTTTATTTAATATGCCACTCTAAATCATGTTGAGAAACTATTAAGTGCCATGAGTACCTTGACAGATAGAATCTTGAGTGACTCCCCTCGGTTGATGGCCAGGATTTGGTGGGACTTAACAAAGTTGACCGGACAGGAGAACTAGGACCAAATTTAATAAATTGGAAAGGTCGCTGAATTACTTACCGCCAGTTCTCAGATTTAAATCCTCATGAATTTTTTACTTTAAATCTGTGATTCAGAATTTGATCCGGCAGGGCAGTAGGTAGTTCAGAGCGACCTGGCTCAAATTCATTAAATTCGGTCCCTGGAAATAGTTTTCAAACTTCAATGGATCCTCCTCCTTCCCGGGTTTAGATTTTCCTCCGGCCGCAGGTTTCTTCTCCTAGCAGATCAAATCTTTATATAACAGATTATATAAATACAGGGGACAGAAATCCAAAACTGAGATCTGGGAGAAATCCGGAAAGTTATCTTTTTAAGAGTTACCATAATACCCTCCAAGCCTAGTAGAAAAATACTTCAGGAAAATTGTCAAAAATGTGAAATGCTACATTTTGAAACTAAAATGTTAACTTTAAACCAATAATAAAAGAAATTCAGCTTTTGACGATACTTGATATTATTTTTAACCACATTTAACACTTTTGAGGCAAGTTAAAACCATGGGGAAAGAACTGCTATAAAATATACGACATTTTAGAGACTTATTTACAGACTTGAGTCAGCGAACGGTTAATTTTTTTTATGAAGTCAAAAATTCTTATTACATTTTTGACTTTAATAAAAAATTCATACTGAAATTTGTTGACCTCGTCAGTCGTCATGTTATAATAAAGCTTTGCTAATAGCTTATCCTAAACCTTACTCAGTGTTTATTTTGGGCCCCAAACTAGGTTTAAGATTAATGACCCCAGAAATCAGAAAGTAAAGCAAACACTATCACCCAGAAAGGACGAGAATTATACAACGACCAAATTTTCTTACATAGGCCGTCCCAAAATTTGAATGCATCGTTTTCCTTAAATAATAATAATAATAATAAAGGATTAATCATGGTCTTTTGCATTAAATATTTTAAACATAAAAATTCACAAGAAGAATAACAATAGTCAATAACCCTGTTAACATTTAGTCTCCGACCAGAATTATTTACCCGACATCTTCGCCATCGGAACTATATAATATCATTGAAAACCACTTCAATACTTGGCATTTTTTACCAAATATGACAACAATATTTTACCTTTGTTGATTTAGTAGTTGACTGTTTGGACTCTAGTGTTATTCTAGCTTGCTTCTGAAAACCCCTGTAAGGAATATGTTTGTCTAGAAGAACTTACCAAATCAGAATCCGACCCAATTTAATTTAATAAATTTAATCTTCATTTGATATCCGCAGTTTAATTGTACCCTTAAGGGATAACTAAAATGAATTTATTAAGCACTAGCTGAAAGGCCTGGCGTTGCCCATGGAAAAATTTTTTTTTAATTTTTAAAAAAAAATTTTAGCCTACAGAAAATTTCAGCCCAATCGGTCCAGCTGTTTGGCCGGCTATACGCAACATATATATATATATATATATATATATACGAATGTCTTCTTTTATTATATAGATTGAACATTGATCCCAAAGTTTAAAGTGTCCGCATTGTAAATTGAGATCAAGCAATCTGGATTATGAGTATCCAACATAAAAGTTCCAAGTTCAGTACAGTCTAATTTTTGGACAGTGTCCTAATAAATTCCTTCCCTTCCACCATTCTGTACACCTCTCATATTGGAACCCTAAGGGATCCCATTTGGCTTCTGCTGGGTGAAAATATTTGTGCAATATAAATAGCTAATTTTTTGTTTATGCATTATACTATCCGAAGACCGTACTGCCACAGAATTTCGTCTGGAGGGTTTGGTTAGGCTTAGGATTTACAACCCTGGTTGATCAAGAACTTCAGCTCCTTGATTATAGAATTGTAAAAAATAGTTTTATCCCTACAAAATCATTAATTTTTTTAATTTGAATAATAACAAGCATATTCCTAATTTGTGCTGAAATATCTTTATCATGAACAATAATATCGGCAATAATATGAAGGATTCCAGTCTCTACTTCACTCAGTTTACTCCGACCCTGCAAATCAGATATTGTTTGCAAAACAAATTTGGGGGTGAAAGAAGAGAAGTTTTCGTCAAATTCTACAGAAACATGGAAATATAAGTATTTTGTTATAAACAGTTCTACAAATAATATATGTTGCTTTATTACATTTAGAACATCGTCTTCTAATATAACAAAGATTGTTTTCATTAAAAATATGCTATTAGCGCTTCGCTCACACATTTCTATTACCAATTTTTAACTGTTGCTCTGAAAGTCGCCATTTTTAATTGCTCTCAAAGAAATTGAGTTTTTGCCACAAACTCTGATTTTCTAATTTCTAAATCTTTGCAACCCAATTCCGTAGACCTTAATTTGTCAAACTATGAATTCTGTTAGATCGAATAATCTGAGTTTAAAATGTTTAAGATTTAAACCATCAGGATAAAAAGATAAAGGGATTAGAAAATTTGAGCTTGTGGCAAAAACTCAATTCCTTTTGCGGATATTTTAAAATAAGAATTATATTTTTAAGTTTTCTTAAAATTGGATCCTTAGAAAAAATTTAAGTTTTTGTTTTTATATTGGATACATACCCTCCAAGCCTAGTAGAAAAATACTTCAGGAAAATTGTCAAAAATGTGAAATGCTACATTTTGAAACTAAAATGTTAACTTTAAANGATATCAAATACAGATAAAATACAGATATCAAATACAGATATCAAATACAGATATCAAATACAGATAAAATACAGATATCAAATACAGATATCAAATACAGATATCAAATACAGATAAAATACAGATATCAAATACAGATATCAAATACAGATATCAAATAAGATAAAATACAGATATCAAATACAGATATCAAATACAGATATCAAATAAAATAAAATCAGTCTCTCGTCCTACTCCCCAAACCCAAAGTGACTGTACTAAATCAGATTTAAACAAGATATCGTTTTCTTTAAATACATTTTAAAGAAAGTCTTTTCAACAAACTCTGATTTTCTAATCCTTATATCTTTGCAACCCAATGTTGCAGACACTAGATATTTCAAACAATGAATTCCGTTAGACCAAATGATTTAAGTTTAAAATATCAAAGGTGTACACCGCCAGGTTGCAAATAATAGGAAAATTTTAGTTTGTGGCAATTTTTTTAAAATTAATTATTGTATTAGTTTAAATTTTAGATCTAGTTTTTTTGAGTGAAACCAAATGATTCACCTTATAAACATTTTTAACCTATTTTCTAATATTTATAATATTTCAATAAAAAACAGCTGTCGCTTCCCCTTCTAATTTTGTTTTAAAAAAATCAGTTATTTCCATTGAAACATTTTCTAAATTGGTTTTAATAAACTGATTATTTTCTTCATTTAAAACAGATGATAACTCCTTTACAACATGTTTTACTTTGTTTTTAATATTGATAAAGATTTTCTCTCCCCTTTTCAACATTTTCATAAAAAATTTTATTTTTAAAATTAGAATATTTTCTACCTTCTAGGATATCAAGAGCAACATCTCCCAGGCCCAAAGCTCTTGCTCTTTCAGCCAGACTGCTCTTAGAGCCTAAATCAAATCAAGAAGAGCATGAAACTTCTTTAGGCTCCATTATTTAAACTTGATGTTTATTTATCTTAAGCTCTAGACAACGTTGCATGATCCAGCCTGTACAACATGTACTGTAGATGCATTCAGTCGTACTGTCCAGTCTGGACAACCCAGTGAAAACTTTGAAGTCGACCTATCACGTTTAATGCAACAAATGTAGCCTGGCAAGATCACAGTGAGTTATTGCTTCTCAATTTATAAAGAAATAGAAATTCAACAAATAATCTTTTTAATAATCGTTTTAGAAAACCTGATAGATAAAAACATTACAAAAAACAAGATAGAGAAATCTCTGAGAACGGACAGATCATCTTTTTTACTAGTTTGAGCAAGAAAGTTTAGGTAAAAGGAGCAAATTCTTTTTTAAATAGGAGTGTGTCATCAGAGAGGAAAACATAAACAACTTCATCATATTTTCTTAGAAAATGTTTCAAGGGTATCGCTTAGATTTGTTTGATTTAGAAATTTCGTATAATTTTCCTCCTGTTTCTGCCATGGAAATTTCCACTTTTACAATCCTACGCTTCATTTGCTTAACCATTGATGGTGCAGAATGAAATCTTATTTCGGTTTTAATAAAATCACATAAAATTTTCAAAATTCCTGTGAATTTTTTATTTTTTACCATCTTAAGATATCATTTAATAAACCACGGATAGTCCTTTAAAAATACCTGTTTTATAAGGTGCATAGGCGACCTCCAGCTCCTGGACTGATCGGGCAGAGAGAAATGAATTTCTAGTTTACAATATTCACCACCAGGCTCTAGAAGTCTCACTTGAAACTTAATATCATCACAAAAAATCAGTACCGCATACTTGACAATTTTCTCGGGGGGCAAAAAAGTTTTGACAAAATTTATCTTTTCAAGAAACTTTAAATTTCTGCTAAGTTTTGAGGTGGCGTGAATATCCCTGACTGCAGGAGTTAATTTCCCCGTCTTCTCTACTGTATGGATCAGCTTTAATGACTTCTCTTGAACTGACTTCAGTCCTTCGAAGGACTCTTTGAAGGTTCTAGAACCGCATTTTTATTCACTGAGAATAGAAAGAAAAAGAATTGTCTGTATTTATCTCTGACGTATTGTAACAGTTTGAAGGGACTGTAAGCGTAATTTCAAATGACCCTCCATGCAAAAGTGACAATGTCCGATTTACAAAGGTATCCTTGAAATTTAATCTGATCAAAAATGTGAAAGATACCGTGGTTTTCCGACTCAAAAAGTCCTTATTTCTGCAAGTTTCTCCATTGCTTCTTATTAACAAGAAATCACAAGTCACTTTCGCACAGAAACTGCAAATTAAAGCAAACAGTTCAAAGAAACAAAAACATGGATATCTAACATGCAATTGATTAGACAAAGCTTTCAATGGTACCGTTGTAAATCTTCTTTGCAAGGAGGGTCACTTGAAATTACGATTACAGTCCCTTTAAGAAACTGGTTTATTGTAAATACACAGCAGTACGTAAACAATGGTTGAAAAGGCCCAGCTCTCCGGCCGTCAGGAAAATTAGTACCATTGTTTACAATTATTGTTATTATTTTGATAAAATAGTTTTTAAACTGTTCAAATACGTCACATTAGAAAGTTAGAAAGTAAACACCCCCCCTCCCCACACTCCGTAGTTCTAATTTAATGCATTTCTTGTTTCTGAAGAGGTTCAGGATCTAATTTTTTTTGGCAGAAAATTGAGGAAACAAAAAATATCAAGACATTAGAAAAAAGGCCTGTGTGATAAAATAATTTTTACATTTAAATTTTTGGCCTTAAATAATAGAATATATTTACCACATTATTTTTGGCCATAAATAAGTGAATCTGTTTACAATATTATTTTTGGCCTTAACTATAAGAAAATCTGTTTACCACATTTTTTTGGCCTTAAATAAGAGAATCTGTTTACCACATTATTTTTGGCCTTAAATAAGAGAATCTGTTGACAATATAATTTTTGGCCTTAAATAAGAGAATCTGTTTACCATATTATTTTTGGCCTTAAATAAGAGAATCTGTTTACCACATTATTTTTAGCCTTAAATAGGAGAATCTGTCACCGCATTATTTTTGGCCTTAAATAAGAGAATCTGTTTACCACATTATTTTTGGCCTTAAATAATAGAATCTGTTTACCACATCATTTTTGGCCTTAAATACGAGAATCTGTTCACAACATTATTTTTGGCCTTAAATAAGAGAATCTGTTTACCACATCATTTTTGGCCTTAAAAAAGAGAATCTGTTTACCACATTATTTTTGGCCTTAAATAAGAGAATCTGTTTACAATATAATTTTTGGCCTTAAATAAGAGAATCTGTTCACCACATAATTTTTGGCCTTAAATAAGAGAATCTGTTTACCACATCATTTTGGCCATAAATAAGAGAATCTGTTTACCACATTATTTTTGGTAAAAAGTCAAAAAACCTTACCTCAAAACGATGCCCATATCTCATTGTTTAGTCGTAGGAAAATAATAAAAGAAAAACTGTTAAAATAATAAATATGGTTTCCTGAGAGTGTCTGGGTCCATTCCTCCAGTTTGTTCCTTCCTGTAGCGAGCAATAAACGGGATAGAGTTCCCGTCTTCTAGCAACCTAGACGAGGGAGAGAATGCAACCTATACGAGGGGTGGAGTGCAACCTATACGAGAGAGAGAATGCAACCTATACGAGGGTGGAGTGCAACCTAGACGAGGGAGGGAGTGCAACCTAGACGAGGGAGGGAGTGCAACCTAAACGAGGGAGAATAAAACCTTTGCGAGAGAGGGAGTGAAACCTAGACAGGGAGGAGTGCAACCTATACGAGGGAGGGAGTGCAACCTAAGGAAACTCACAGCCTGAATGCATACTTTTTTGTAAAATATTCGGAATCTTAATCCATGAAGACCAAATTTCACAGAAATGTGTCACTCAAAAGTTTCCCTTCAGTTTTGAATCCTAGAATTACCTCTTCTGGCGTCCAAAGGAATTCCACGCTGCATTTTTGGGAATCATTTGACCGGGGTTTTTGTGAACTTTCAGACCGGGGTTTTTTAATTTCTGCTCCGCAGGCAGAACTTTTAGTCTCATTTGATCTTTTCATTTTATTCTGTTAAGAAAAATATAAAATATATTTATTAACTGCAAAATTTTCTTAATTTACATATCATTGGTAAATATTTGAAAAAATATAAAATGTTAATAAAAACAGTTTAAAAAATGCATGACAAATTTGTTGTTTTGTTAATTCATTATACAATCCGAAGTTTGTACTGCCACAGAATTTCTTGTGGAGAGTTTTTAGCTTAGGACATCAACCCTAGTGCATCCAGGACATTATCTCAATTTTTCTATTTTACAATTTTTTGAAAAAATCAGTAAGCGTAATGAATAATAAAATTCTGTCAAACAGAAATTATAATAAACATATTTATAGTATACAAAATTACAATACACGTATAAATAAAAAAGTACAAAAATAGAGGTCATAAGTTGTAATCATAATTATTACGTGTAGAGTTACTTCTGGGAAAGAAACACGCTATGCGGAATTGTATTTCCTGCACACCTATGGAAATGCCAGATCACAATGGCAAGCAGATGCTAACATGGTTCATTGGTTGGCTGCCTATGGCCCAACATCTTGCTTCCCAGAGAATGGGTGCAAGCAAAAAAAAAAAAACATTTTTGTCCAAACCAAGTTCATATAAAAATCTAACTACAACAAAACCCATAGAACTATGGAATAGAAAGATGAAATTTGAGCAATCATATGTAATGTATATTTGGGGTTGTAATGAAGAATGTGTGTCATGTTTACAGGGCTATCAAAAAGTATAACTTTAATCTAACAGTTGTATTTCTGTTCCACAACTTTTTGGGTATGATATTATAGAAACGTACGACGTTTATTCCTTTCCGTTCCAAATCAAATAAATCATCAATTAATTTTAAAATATTCACAAATACATAATAGTGTAATGTTAAAAAACAATAATAAATTGGGCTATACAATGGCGTCAAAATCTTCAAAAACAGGTACAACTATAATAAATAAACAAATATCAAATGTTTTAGATATTGAGACCATTTTAATATTTTTCAATAACAATCAATCAATAATTATCAGTAGTTTAATATCATTATGCAATGCAGGTTATCAGAGAAAGTCATTGAGTATATATGCAAAATAAAAATAAATAAAAATTAAAATAAATTGTAAGGGTCAATTAATCAGTCGCGACGACGATCGTCAGTTTGGCCGTTTAATCTGTCTTTCGGCCGTTCAGTTTTGTATCGTATTCTTCATTTCCTAGCTTTCATATTGGTCAAGAGTGTTGCGTTCTCTCCTGCCCACTAGAATATCAATATATTAGTACAGTACACAGTACAGTACAGTACAGTACAGTACAGTACAGTACAGTACAGTAAAACTTTGTATATGAATTTACATTTAAGTGTTTTTTAAAGTCCTCTAGAAAATCAAAACCAGTTTGCATTATTATTATTACAATTATAACCAGAAAACTCTAGAATAGGAAGTCGACTTTCTAACTCAAGGTTTGACTTTAAATAGTCCAATGAACATGAGGCACCACAACTGCGCAGTGTAAACAGACTAATTTTACTTAATAAGTGATTTAAATACTTACTAGTAAAGCTATTTTCTTTGTAAAAACATCCAATACACTACTGTATTGTCTTAATGTCGTCTTCCTATTAAACAGTTTTACTGTTATCACTGTATTATTTCATCAATATTTCATAGTACAATCAATACAAAAATCGATTTGTACCTGAGAAAATGCAGTACTGTACATGGCCAGAATCTTCATGAGTACTAGAGAATCTATTTCTGACCCATGGCTTTGTTCTGGCTCCTCTCCTAGATTTTGTATAGGAGTAAATATTTTACTAAAAAAATGTAAAAAAATGTAGGACAATAATTTTAAAGAAAACATTAGTATAATAAGAATTTAAAAAATGACACTAACCACCAACATATTGAGGCTATTTTATTTTTAAATGTACATACACTGTACTCTCTACATACACTGTACTCTCTACATACACTGTACTCTCTACATATACTGTACTCTCTACATAAACTGTACTCTCTACATACACTGTACTCTCTACATACGCTGAACACTCTACATGCACAGTAAATTCTTCATACTCCTACCCTCCTACCTTCACTCCTTCACTCCTACACTCCTACACTCCTACCTTCACTCCTACACTCCTACACTCCTACACTCCTACACTCCTACACTCCTACACTCCTACACTCCTACACTCCTACACTCCTACACTCCTACACTCCTACACTCCTACACTCCTTCACTCCTTCACTCCT